ATTATACAATTCAATTCTTTATTTTTACTTTTTTACTTTTAGATTGCACAACTTGAAAATTCTTTTGTCTTGAATTGTACAAACTCTTTTTCCTATACAACAAGTTCTTGAATTGCATAATTTAGAAGTTATTTTTTCATATAAAAAAAACTCATATTATTTAATTCAACAGTGTCTTCTAAATCATATAATCCAAAAGTCGTTTTTCATTTAAGTAATTTGATCTTTTAACCATCCAATACGGAGAGCACATGGAAAGTGCAAAAAGAAACTACCAATCATATTATAATGATTCGTAACTCGTGAGAGAAATATTATAAGGAATTTAAGTATGAAATTAAAAAAAAATCATACATTAAGTAAAAAAGAATAACTTATAAAAAAAATCATTTTTATTATTTTAATATTTTTTTGTTATAATTGCCATCAATTCTTTATATAACACCTCATGGAATAAAAAATGTTGAGTTACATGGACTTTCCGTGGTATCCACCGAAAATAAATTCTAATACCAACTTCCGATATTTATTTTGTAATAAAAGTCCCTTGCTTTCTGCTCTGGCAGTTACATTATGAATGTTTGTTGTATATATATGATTATAATTATATGTATAACGATTGTCTTAAGTGCTTTGTTTATCTCTTTGGAACTGAAATTAACTTTTCAATGCACTTCTAACGTCAATATCCATGTTTTGAATGAACGCATTGCAACCAAAGAAACATCCAATGTGACAACGAGGGTGAATTAAAATGAAAATTAAATTGAACTGAAACATTATTATTAATGAGTTAAATTTAAATTATTGATTTTTTTTATGGATTGCTGGAGGAAGAAAGGGAGGTACAGGAAGAAGTAGCCTTTCTGAATTATTTTATTTGATCCAAAATCGACCTGGGCTAGCCCAATGGCCCCAGTCATTTTAAATATGTCATCAATTTAAACGTGTTTTCTTAGACTTAAAACATGGATACAAAATAATCTGGAGTTATGATACATATAAAAAATAAATAAAGAGTTTACGTGAACAGATATTCATATATTAAAATTATTATTTAAATTTTTATATGTTAAAAATGCGATAAATGTTAAATATTTTGCATAAACAATACACCTATCTAATCCAATAACTATACGAAAATAGGTTTTACCACGTTAATTAATGTCTAATATTGCTTAATTATTTTCTTTGTTAATGTAACCGTTAAATCTTTTTACTTAAATTTTAAAATTATATTTATTTTTTTTTCGAATTTATTAACATTATTTTTACTTTTTTAATCAATTATTTTTAAATTTAATCATAACAACATACCAATATACATACATATGTATGTATATATATATATATATATATATATATATATATATATATATATGATAACAAATTATCTTATACAACATTGCTTTTCTTTTGAGAGCCTATACAATTTTTCATGTATTCTTTTTTTACTTATTTGTGGAATGGGGTATATAATATTAATTTTGTGTCATCACTAAATTTGTTTTGATTAANGTCTTAAATAAATAAGTTATGAAACTAAGTCTTAAGAAAAATAATATAACTTTGTTATATTACATAATAAATTCAATGTGATTTAAAAATTTAGAATGGAAATACATACTAAAAATGATACGAGTCGTGGAACAAGTACAAGGATAAGGATGAGATTATATATATTCATATACAATCAATATGATAATAAGCCGTTAGAGTGATAAATCTTTAATAAATATTTTGAGGTATAAAATAGATGTTTTAAACTTTTATGAGTGCTAATTATATAAAATATATTAAAATAAAAAAATAATAATTTTATGTATATGTTAATTTACATGTACGAAAAAAGAGAAAAAAGAATTGGCCCCTCTCAATGTGAAATCAGATCCAAATATTATGAGTTGATTTTTTATTCTTATTTTGTAGATCTTAAAAATGAGAAAAAAATGATTTGAGCAACTTAAATATAAATAAATTGTATTGTTTTTTTGTAAACAAAATTGAGAGAGGTAGAAAGAAGATGTGAGTTGAAAATTTAATAAGGGAGAGGAAAACACATGAAAGAAAGTGATTGATGAAATATAAAGTGAGGAAAGAAGAAAGTTATGATTGAAAGGTGGATGTGTCCCACTTGGGTGGTGGCCGAAATTGAAAACGGGAAACAACAAACCCATTATTATAAGGGTTAAATATGTTTTTAGTTCCTGCCGTTTCTGGTTTTCGTTCCTCTTTCAAAGTAAAATACAATTTGGTCCTCATTCTTTTCGAAAACGTTCGTTTTAGTCATCGAAAACTAACACCGTTTAAAAATTTGGTCCTCATTTAGCAACAAAATGAGGACTAAAACCAAAATTCCGAAGACTAAAACGTACTTTTCGAAAAGAATGAGGACCAAATTGTACTTTACTTTGAAAGATGGACGAAAACCAAAAACGACCAATAGTTTAGGGACTAAAAACATATTTAACCCTTATTATAATTATTATTATTTTATTATTATTTTGATTGTGAGTATAAACTTGTGATGGGATTTGCTGGCACCCCTATCATGCATGGCGTAAAACTGCGTTGGCACGCCATGACAGCCTACATTATGGAATAAACAAAAACTAATTGAAAGAGTTGTGCCTATAGAATATGCTTCTCATTTTTGCACGTAGTTTTCACGTTCACAGACACTTAAAACTTATAATGTCGTTTTATGTTGTCTCCATATGCTACATTCTTTACTTTTTAATAGTGAGAATAGTTTAAGTTTGTAAGCTCCAAAATTCTCTCTCATACATTATTAAAAGGAGGAGTCCAGGACACTGACCCTTTCGTATATATTTCATTTACTTTGTCTTTAAAAATAAATTTTAAATTATGTAATTATTTGAAAGTCACCTTTTTGTAAAAATATTTTTAAATTATCTAGAAATCACTTTTAGCTTTTTTATGGAGCAATTTTAAAATATATTTTTTTAATTATACAATTCAATTCTTTATTTTTACTTTTTTACTTTTAGATTGCACAACTTGAAAATTCTTTTGTCTTGAATTGTACAAACTCTTTTTCCTATACAACAAGTTCTTGAATTGCATAATTTAGAAGTTATTTTTTCATATAAAAAAAACTCATATTATTTAATTCAACAGTGTCTTCTAAATCATATAATCCAAAAGTCGTTTTTCATTTAAGTAATTTGATCTTTTAACCATCCAATACGGAGAGCACATGGAAAGTGCAAAAAGAAACTACCAATCGTATTATAATGATTCGTAACTCGTGAGAGAAATATTATAAGGAATTTAAGTATGAAATTAAAAAAAAATCATACATTAAGTAAAAAAGAATAACTTATAAAAAAAATCATTTTTATTATTTTAATATTTTTTTGTTATAATTGCCATCAATTCTTTATATAACACCTCATGGAATAAAAAATGTTGAGTTACATGGACTTTCCGTGGTATCCACCGAAAATAAATTCTAATACCAACTTCCGATATTTATTTTGTAATAAAAGTCCCTTGCTTTCTGCTCTGGCAGTTACATTATGAATGTTTGTTGTATATATATGATTATAATTATATGTATAACGATTGTCTTAAGTGCTTTGTTTATCTCTTTGGAACTGAAATTAACTTTTCAATGCACTTCTAACGTCAATATCCATGTTTTGAATGAACGCATTGCAACCAAAGAAACATCCAATGTGACAACGAGGGTGAATTAAAATGAAAATTAAATTGAACTGAAACATTATTATTAATGAGTTAAATTTAAATTATTGATTTTTTTTATGGATTGCTGGAGGAAGAAAGGGAGGTACAGGAAGAAGTAGCCTTTCTGAATTATTTTATTTGATCCAAAATCGACCTGGGCTAGCCCAATGGCCCCAGTCATTTTAAATATGTCATCAATTTAAACGTGTTTTCTTAGACTTAAAACATGGATACAAAATAATCTGGAGTTATGATACATATAAAAAATAAATAAAGAGTTTACGTGAACAGATATTCATATATTAAAATTATTATTTAAATTTTTATATGTTAAAAATGCGATAAATGTTAAATATTTTGCATAAACAATACACCTATCTAATCCAATAACTATACGAAAATAGGTTTTACCACGTTAATTAATGTCTAATATTGCTTAATTATTTTCTTTGTTAATGTAACCGTTAAATCTTTTTACTTAAATTTTAAAATTATATTTATTTTTTTTTCGAATTTATTAACATTATTTTTACTTTTTTAATCAATTATTTTTAAATTTAATCATAACAACATACCAATATACATACATATGTATGTATATATATATATATATATATATATATATATATATGATAACAAATTATCTTATACAACATTGCTTTTCTTTTGAGAGCCTATACAATTTTTCATGTATTCTTTTTTTACTTATTTGTGGAATGGGGTATATAATATTAATTTTGTGTCATCACTAAATTTGTTTTGATTAAATTTTCATCAACTTTTTTTTTTGTGAAATATTAATTAAATTTCATATATTAATGAAGGGTTAAATATGTTTTTAGTCCATAAACTATTGACCGTTTTTGGTTTTCGTCCATCTTTCAAAGTAAGGTAGAATTTGGTCTTCATTCTTTTCGAAAACGTTTGTTTTAGTCCTTGAAAACTAACACCGTTTAAAAATTTGGTCCTCATTTAGCAACAAAATAAGGACCAAATTGTACTTTACTTTGACAGAGGGACGAAAACCAGAAACTAAAAACATATTTAACCCATTAATCAATATACATTATTGGAGTTTTCTAGAATTACATGTAATGTAAGTGGATGATCGTACTATTCTAGTAATGTAGGTGGAAGAATGATAAATACTAAATCTTTTGTTCGGAAGCAAAAATCTTATGATGTTTTAAATTAAAATTTACGATGATAAAAAGTTTTAAATTAAAAATTATAGAGAAAATTTATTTTCATCCAAATGAAAAAAAAAAAATTATATGGAGAAAGGATACGTAATTCTGAATAATGTATCTTGTAAGGCAAGACAATAAGAATTTTCAATGACAATGCTGTATCTTGTGAAGAGAGAAACGGGGTGCCTATCACAGAATTAGATCTTGCTCATATACCCAGCGATACCCATATTTCTTGACATACACAGCATAACGGAATTTTTTCATCTCCGGTATGATAAATCTCAAGCCAAGCCAATCACGTTGTTCAATGAACTGCTTCCGGGAGAAATAAAATAGCCACATGTGATCTGACAGCTCCATGGTTGGATCTCTTCTCAAATCGAGTGGAGGTTTTTTAATGGGATTATCTGGTCTTGGATAATATGGTCTTGGATATCTCATTTCCATTTCGTTGCCTCTACCGAATATTACACAGCACACAACACCAATCCAATCATTGTCATTTTCGACGGGAGAGGAATTAATCTCTATTAAATTTAACCGGCTCTGAAACTGATTGTTGAACCACTCGGGTATTTCACTTCCAGGGATAATACTTTCAACATCTGGACCAATTGTGGTGGATGTAAGACTCCCGTATTGATGGTTCGCCTTTTACAACCACAGAGTTATGCGTTAGTAGCTGTTTTCTTTCATAATAAATAGATTAAAAGAAGGGGAAGAGGGAGGGAGGAGTATGCACACCTGAACAATTTGTATCATCCATGAAATACTCATGCTTGAGCAGCGTTCCCTGTCAACTAATTCTGGGCAGTTGAAGATGATTAATCCTGCCTTGTCTTCATCGTCCTCTACTAAACGTCCAAGGATAGAAGGTGAATATGGGAATGGTAGCATGTACACTTTTGAGGGCAAGTGTGTTCGTGAAGGGAGATCAGGCAAGTATTTCAATCGCTTGCAATGCTGTAAGTTTAAATAATACAGTTTGAAAAGGTCCTTGAGGTTGGGAAGTGTAGTAAAATTGTTTCCCTTCAAATTTAGCTTCTCTAAGCAATGTAGCTTTCCAATGGCATCAGGAATTTGAACCAAGTTACAGAAGCTTAGATCGAGTTCACGCAAACAAGGGTGACTGGGAGAGGACGGCAACAAACAGCTACTTTGTGATCTCAAATACAACAAATCTGAAGGCCACGAAAGCATTTCTTTTATGAAAGAGGGTGTTGATCGGAGATGAATAGGAGCTTCAACTAAATAAAGCTTCTTCAAATACTCTGTATTCCTTGGTTCATCAAATAACTGATTGTTATAAAGTTTTGAACACCCAGAGATACTTAGATATTCAAGACAGTTCAGGCCAAATATGCTCCTTGGTAAGCTCACTAACTCTTTGCAGTTTTTCAAATTCAAAATGGCAAGCCTTCTCAAAAGACCGATCGATGGATTGATTTTTTGGAGCTTTATGCATCCTTCAAGATCTACCCTTTCAAGATTTAGGGCCTCTCCAACATCTGGCATCTCAATTAAATCTTTGGAGTAAGACAGATCCAAACGTTTCAAATTGTGCAGTAGCTACAACAATTTGCAGAACAGAAGCAAACAAAATCAGTAATGACACAATTGAGTTTTCTTTAATTTCCTTTTTCAGAAATTAGTTAAAGGAAAAAGGAAATATAAAGAGAGAGAAGTTGTTTTTAAAAAATAGAAATGGAAAATTAGTTAATGTATACTACCATTGTGCCTTCCCACAGTCGTTGAATACTGCTCCATCTCAGTTTTAACTCAACTAGTATATCGGGCCGAAAACTTGGAGGCAAACATTTAAAAGGATATTTGTTCCAAGTAAGATATCCTAGTTCATTCGAAAGATGATTGAGACTTCCTGAAAAGTTCACGTTCTCAAGTTTAAGCAACTTAAGCTGTCTAATGTTCGACAGACCATCTGCCTTCATTGTTGTTTTACCAAACATCCATTCTTCATTTTTTACAACTATGGCTTCAAGATTGTCAATTTCCTACACCATTGCACAAAAGGATCAAATTTCTAGATTTTTTTTTCAAGTATATACATATACTAAAAGTTGCATCATAAGATTTTATAATCAAACTATCAATTTAACCTGATTGTGTAACATAACATTGTGGAAATCTTGGTAGTCCCACAACCTGCTCCACTTCCTGGGCTCCTTAGGTGATTTTTCTCGAACAATACTCCTTCCCAAATCCATTAGCAAGCTATGCATATATATCCTCCCATAGTTATTGGTTATCAGTGATTTATCAACAAGAACTTGCATGCCATATTCAGGATGAAATCCTCGGAAACTTAGAATTTCCTTCACGTATATTTCTTCATACCCATTGTAGAAGCAAGCAATATCCAAAAATGTTTCTTTGTCTTCTTCATCCAGCTCATCAAAACTTATACGTAAAACATCCATAATACTTTTACTTTTATTTTCTTTTAGTCTAGCCAATGCACTTTTCCATTGAGACACACTTCGGCCAAACAAAGATGAACCAATTACTTCAATAGCCAAAGGATGTCCTTGAGCATGTGATAGTACATCACGGGCCAACTTTTCGTAATCGCTCAAAATATAATTAACTTTCAAAGCATTTCTACAGAATAACTGGACAGCATTTTCCCAACTCAACGGCTGCACTTGATAAACATCATCCACTCCATGCGTTCTTAATATATGTTCATCCCTAGAAATTATGATGATTTTGCTCCCTTCACCTAAGCATTCACGTAACAAAGTGTCTCTATTCCCTGTAAACATCCTCAGTTGTTCAACTTGATCAACATTGTCAAGAACTATAAGTGCCCTGGCATTGTGTAGCCTAGACCACACCAAACATGTTCCTTCAAAACCATTGCAAATCTCTAGATTTTTTTCGTTTAGAGACTGTGAAATTAACTGTTTTTGTAGACCTAACGAACTAGAATCTCGATAAATTTTGCTTACATCGTCAATAAAACAATGAAAATCATATTGATGACAAATTCTTTCGTATAAAGTCCAAGCAAGACTTGTCTTTCCTATGCCACCCATCCCACTAATTCCAACGACTCGAACATCATTAAGTGATCCACAACACAGAAGATCTTTTAATTCTTGAACCCGAGACTCTATCCCAACTAGTTCGTCCTTTGGAAGACTTGAAATTTTGGGACCCAAAATATTTGTTATGCTTTCAACAATTTCTTCTATCTGCGCATATTGTGGCCTGAAAATTTAAATGAAATGAAGGCAAAACATCACACAACACAACAAAATGGAGTATATACAGGACAAAGTAAACGTAAGACTTTTTTAACTTTCAAACTATTTTCATCAAACAATTATACATTTGGACTTATTTTCTATCATCCAAAACTTCTCTAGCTTACTAATATTTCTCAAACATACATTACCTTCTATAAGTCATACTTACATTGCTAAACCTCTCTTCAAAAGTCATACCAATAACAACACATCAACCACTCTGTTAAAATTTTCCTAAATTCTTAACATCTCTCAACTCTAGTTTAGAAAGGGATAGTGAATTTCAGAAAACAGCAGGAACTAGAAAGTATTAAATAAATTCAAAGCTATATAACTCAATGTATAATTATATATATTTGTGATCGATCTTGAAACGAGAGAGGATCACTCACTTATTTCGAATATCCCAACCAGAGAGATTGGCCACTTCCGTGAGAGCTTCTCTCCATCTCTTAGCTTCCTCCATCTTGGCTTTATTTTCTCCGAATCTGTATTCGTGTTGTGCAAATGATATGTCATAACATCCACTCTGTTTGCGAACCACCGAAGGATCAACATCATAAAATATAGGTATAACACGTCTTGCCGAAGTTTGAGCGCAGTTACGAATCTCTGCCAGTTCACGCAAGCACCAAATGGAGGAAGCATAGTTGTTTGAGAAGACAATAATGAAAAGTCGAGAGGCTTGAATGGCTTGCAGCAGCTCGGGTGCAATGGATTCACCTTTTTTTAAATCTTGATCATCTTTGAAGGCATGGATGCCTTTTCTGCGGAGAGCTTGAAAGAGAAAACCAGTAAAGTTGTTGCGCGTGTCTTCACCACGGAAGCTCACAAATACGTCGTATGTGTTAATTGCATGAGATGAAGAAGAGCTGTATTGGACGATGGCGTTAGAAGGCATTTGTTGAGAGTGAAGACTATTATGGAATTGCTGTGAAAGTGGAAAGCAAACATTGAAGAAATATAGATCCACCCATGAAGTGAACCGCGTTTCATTTTTCCAGCCTCTTCTAAGAAGGTCATATTTATTGTATAATTGATCCTGTCTGCCAGTTTTGCGTGTTTTCATATAATTGTGCTTATAATAATTATCAAGTCACATTCATGACATCTTATTTGCTTCCTCTTGGTCAAGACGTGGATTCATTTTTATTATTGTTAAATAAAACCAATTATGAAACACTTATCTTTTGCCAACGCGCGTTTACTTTCCTAATGAAAATAAGTTGGATAAATTTAACACTTAACAATTTTTTTTAATTAATTTTTTTATAATAAATTATACTATTGCTTTGTATATTTGAAATAGACCAATATAAGTGTAAAAAAGTTGTTAAAGAATTTATTAAAAAAATATTTTCCGTTTAATATTATTCAATCTAGCGCCTTGATTGAAGTCTGCAACATTGATCGATTCAAAACCGTGGTATCCACCTGTGCGTGTTTAATAGTGTTGCAAAAGGAAAGATTTTTCAGTTATCTTTTTTATTTCCGTAGCTTACTCATATTTACCTAGTGCACACATACCGCTGTGCAATCCGGTTCGACTTTGGTCAGTTAGTGAATCAATCCAATTTAATTCATTTATTGATAAGTCAAAAAAATTTGAATTCAGCTCAGCCAATCATAAATTGGTGGATTAAACAGATTGATTCACTTAATTACAAGTTTTTTTTCAAATAAAAAAATTATATTTTTTTTGTAATTCAAATTTAAATACTTTCACTCTTAAATGATGTGAAACTCTTAAGACAATTCGAAATAAAAAACTTAACATACAACTCAAATGTAACGAATAAATAAGTTTGTAATATTGTTTTTCGTCCCTTTAAGTATCACACAAATTTGGTTTTAGTCCCTACTCGAATCTTTGATGGTTTTTAGTCCTAAGAAAAAAAATTATGTGAAAAAATATTTGTATAAATAAATTAAACAAATAAAAATTCAAATATAAAAGAAATAAAAAAAATAAATGTATAAGTATATTTCGTATATTTCGTATATTTCGTATAATTCAAATAGGAAAGAAATAAAAAATAAATGTATAAGTATCTAATAGAATTCAAATATAAAAAAAATAAATATATAAGTATATTTAATAAAATTTGATATGAAAGAACTAAAAGGAGTAAAAACATAGGAATTATACAAAAATAAAAAGTAACAAATTATGAAATGTAAGTAAAAATTGGTAGTAAAATTTATGAAATTAGAAATTAAGTGTTAAGAAATAAGTAGTGTTTTATTATTATGAGAAAAAGAATGGTATTAAAATTTTCAATATTATGACATAAGATTTTGTTATAAAATAATTTAAGCTTAAAACATTGTCAAATAAATAATTAACATAAAATTCTTATACTCTATTTTAAACTATTAAAAGTTTTCTACAAAACACAAGAAAACAAGATTACATTGGTTTATTTACAAAACATGCCAAATACTAACATTAGTAACTTTACCATCATTAGTGGTGATGAACTATAAACATAGACTTTTCAATCTTCATAAAATTCATATAAAAAGACATCGTCTTTATTGAGACCATTACTAAAGGTTAATAAATCACATGTTGAACATCTTTATCATCCCTTAAGAAAACAAAGTCACAAACTTTTTCTTCAATAAATTGAGAAGCAATATGGTATCACAAATAACTTAACTCTGATTCTCACAATCCCAACAAATGACTTTTAGTGATTTAGTGATCCGACAAATAATAATTCCATTTGAAAAATTATAAAAGGCAAACCTTCTATCTTCAAAATCTACATCAACATTAAAGGAATTGAAACCATTAATTTCCAAAAGAAAAACTATGTTTACTTGTATATTCAACGTGGGTCTTCTAAGGTATAACTTGTTGACGAATGTGGTGATTAGTATTTGTAGAGTTATGTACACTTTTTTGCTTTAAAAGGTTGGCCTTTTTATTATATAATATCAAATTTATGTTGAATTTGGTTCTAATTTACATAAATATAAAAATTTCCATGAACTTAGATTAATCGATATAATTTTACTTCTATTAGATCTAGGTCTGACATAAATTTAAACAAAATATTTATAAAAATATGACTGCATTTTTTTTATTTAGGAGTTTTCTTGACTTGATATGGAATTTGTGAATTTTATTTCACTTGATATCATAACTAACATTTTGAAATTAATTATTTAAAGAATAGAAGAAAATGCTTCATATAAACTTTAATTTTCTATTTTTTTTAAAAAATCTATTTAACTTTGTGGCCCAACTAATGACGAAATCACAAATAATATCACATTTTTTTAGGTTGACTTGTAGGGTGTTGTTCCCTCCACCACCCGAAGTGCTCTTGCACCTCTCCACTATTTTCTTTTATTCCAAAAATACTCTACAGCTCTCCAATATTTTCTTTTATTCCAAAAATACCCTACACCTCCCCACTATATTCAACAATCTTTCTCTTTTTCTCTCCACATTAATGGAACATTCACATGGTTCAGATTTAAACTTGTGATATATTGCAAAATTTTATTTACACTTTCTCTTAAATAAGTTTGATTCAATCTTATTTTCACTATTCAATATTTTTTTCTTCAAATTACTTAATAAATGGTAAAATTTTGTTCTAAATTTCTAGAAAAATGTTTATATATATGTGTTTTTTTTTACATTTAATATCTATAGTTTTTAACATTATATTATGTTTTAACTTACCGACATGTTTGACTCAAATAACTTGAATAAAATATTTAATTTATTAGATAAATAATATAAAAATATTATTAAATACTTAAAATATAAAAGAAAAGTTATTTGTTAAAGATTTGGAATCTATTTAGTTCTTTCGTCATTATAAAGTTAGTATATAATAATAATACTAATATATTATTTACTATTAATATTATTATGTTTATTATTTTATATTTGCATCAAACTTTTAAGTTTATAAAATGGAAGTGGTAGAAGCACTAATATTAAAGTTTTCTCTGAATTTTATATTTTGCAATATATCACAAGTTTAAATTTAGGCCATATGAATGCTCCATTAATGCAGAGAGAGAAAGATAAAGATTGTTGAGGATAGTGAGGAGGTGTAGGGTATTTTTGGAATAAAAGAAAATAGTGGGGAGATGTAAAATATTTTTGGAATAAAAAAAAGTAGTGGAAGGTGCAGAAGCACTTGGGGTGGNGTCAAGACGTGGATTCATTTTTATTATTGTTAAATAAAACCAATTATGAAACACTTATCTTTTGCCAACGCGCGTTTACTTTCCTAATGAAAATAAGTTGGATAAATTTAACACTTAACAATTTTTTTTAATTAATTTTTTTATAATAAATTATACTATTGCTTTGTATATTTGAAATAGACCAATATAAGTGTAAAAAAGTTGTTAAAGAATTTATTAAAAAAATATTTTCCGTTTAATATTATTCAATCTAGCGCCTTGATTGAAGTCTGCAACATTGATCGATTCAAAACCGTGGTATCCACCTGTGCGTGTTTAATAGTGTTGCAAAAGGAAAGATTTTTCAGTTATCTTTTTTATTTCCGTAGCTTACTCATATTTACCTAGTGCACACATACCGCTGTGCAATCCGGTTCGACTTTGGTCAGTTAGTGAATCAATCCAATTTAATTCATTTATTGATAAGTCAAAAAAATTTGAATTCAGCTCAGCCAATCATAAATTGGTGGATTAAACAGATTGATTCACTTAATTACAAGTTTTTTTTCAAATAAAAAAATTATATTTTTTTTGTAATTCAAATTTAAATACTTTCACTCTTAAATGATGTGAAACTCTTAAGACAATTCGAAATAAAAAACTTAACATACAACTCAAATGTAACGAATAAATAAGTTTGTAATATTGTTTTTCGTCCCTTTAAGTATCACACAAATTTGGTTTTAGTCCCTACTCGAATCTTTGATGGTTTTTAGTCCTAAGAAAAAAAATTATGTGAAAAAATATTTGTATAAATAAATTAAACAAATAAAAATTCAAATATAAAAGAAATAAAAAAAATAAATGTATAAGTATATTTCGTATATTTCGTATATTTCGTATAATTCAAATAGGAAAGAAATAAAAAATAAATGTATAAGTATCTAATAGAATTCAAATATAAAAAAAATAAATATATAAGTATATTTAATAAAATTTGATATGAAAGAACTAAAAGGAGTAAAAACATAGGAATTATACAAAAATAAAAAGTAACAAATTATGAAATGTAAGTAAAAATTGGTAGTAAAATTTATGAAATTAGAAATTAAGTGTTAAGAAATAAGTAGTGTTTTATTATTATGAGAAAAAGAATGGTATTAAAATTTTCAATATTATGACATAAGATTTTGTTATAAAATAATTTAAGCTTAAAACATTGTCAAATAAATAATTAACATAAAATTCTTATACTCTATTTTAAACTATTAAAAGTTTTCTACAAAACACAAGAAAACAAGATTACATTGGTTTATTTACAAAACATGCCAAATACTAACATTAGTAACTTTACCATCATTAGTGGTGATGAACTATAAACATAGACTTTTCAATCTTCATAAAATTCATATAAAAAGACATCGTCTTTATTGAGACCATTACTAAAGGTTAATAAATCACATGTTGAACATCTTTATCATCCCTTAAGAAAACAAAGTCACAAACTTTTTCTTCAATAAATTGAGAAGCAATATGGTATCACAAATAACTTAACTCTGATTCTCACAATCCCAACAAATGACTTTTAGTGATTTAGTGATCCGACAAATAATAATTCCATTTGAAAAATTATAAAAGGCAAACCTTCTATCTTCAAAATCTACATCAACATTAAAGGAATTGAAACCATTAATTTCCAAAAGAAAAACTATGTTTACTTGTATATTCAACGTGGGTCTTCTAAGGTATAACTTGTTGACGAATGTGGTGATTAGTATTTGTAGAGTTATGTACACTTTTTTGCTTTAAAAGGTTGGC